GATATAATTGGAGGGCAAATGAGTGAAATATAGTGGAAGTATTTACACAAATCAATTTTCAGCTGAAAAAATTATGCTATGAATTTTTAGCCTCAATTTGAGACCCATTTTTCGGATAGAAAATACTCGAATTGGAAAATTTGTATTCTAGAATAATTGTAGTACTTTGAATTACCTTTCAAATGCATTTTGAATCACCTCAATCGAATATCTGCAAAGAAAGTTATGGCCAAAATACTGAGGGTTGCTCAGGGATGAACAGAAGTGACATGCTCGCGTGCGCGAGCAATTTATGGCGCGCGCGGGGGGCATCCTATTTTCCCCAACCTGAGAGTCATTTGGTTCTACTACGCGCACGCGGTAGTTATACCAGTGCGCTTAGGCCATTTCTGCAAACGAATCTTTAGTTTCCTTTCGCGATTCAAACTTTTTTGGAAACCAAATGGACGTGATTTTGACCTATTTTCGACTCTTATAAATAGAGAACGAGGGCTACACATTGAGAGCAACCTCTCTTGCTTCTTCATACATAATAGTTTCATCCAATTCATCAAGAACAAGAGGCTAATTGATAGATTTTAAGAGAGGAAATCAAGTTATAGCAAGGAATTGAAGATCAATTACATCAAGATTTTAAAAAATTCAACTTTGAGTTTGAAAATCAACATCTTTTTATTTATTTCATGAACCAAGTGACATTTTTCTATTATTCTTCTTGTAATATAAATATTAACATGATATGCTAGATCTGCTTTTGTATTGGATGAAGATGAACCTTATTTGTTTTAATTCAAAACTAGTAATTTAGTTTATTTCTTGAGTTTCTTGATTAATTTTGCATACCCTTTACATTATTTAATTGATTAGCCACCAATTAAATAATTAGTTGCTTATTGTAGTGTTGTGAGACTCACAATAAACTTAGAACGCGGCAAAATTAACATATGTGCAATAGATGTTAGGAATAACATTTATCACAAGTGCAATCATATAGATAATCTAAACTCTAATGCATTATAATCATTCGAATTCAAAGTAGGAATAGATTTGGGTCGTGACTATAATAGATTTAATTTGTCTTGAAAAAGAGAATTAATTACAATAGAATTATCGATTATCAAGAATGCATAAACGAAATTAGATTACAAATCAAGAATTAAAATAAATAGCAATATGCGGATTCGAGATCCAATACAATCATTCATAAATTGATAAAAATCATATTTTTTATAGTTTTCTTAGATTAATTAAATATAAAATAAAATTAAACTCTCTTTTATTTACATAATTCAAATCACATAAAAAGGTAGTAAACTTGAATTTTATTTTCTGTGGGACGTTACTCTCAACTCATCAATTATATTACTTGTTAAAAATCACGTACGCTTGATGCTGAAATGAATTATATTAATTGAAATGAATTATAGCTGATGCTTCTTTTAATAAAACAAAATCGTTTATTAGATCATCAATGTATAAATTTGAGGAAAATGTCTATATAAGATTAAAAAGTTCTCTTCATATAAATGAA